GGTTGGGGCATAGACTTGGACTACTGTGATATTGAATGGTTTGCCTTGCATTTGCACTGAGATCATTCTGTCATTTTGGGGATTGTATCCCAGTATTGCTTTTCCTACTCTTCTATTTCTTCTGAGGGATTCTTGCCCACAGTAGTATACCTGATGGTCCTCTGAATTAAATTCACCCATTCCTGTCCATTTTAGTTCGCTGGTTCCTAAGATGTCGATGTTCAGTCTTGTCATCTCTTGTTTGACCATGTCCAGTTTGCCTTGATTCATGGATCTTACATTCCAGGTTCCTATGGAGAAAAGATCTTTACAGCATCGGACTTTCCTTTCACCACCAGATGCATCCACAGCTGAGTGTCCTTTCGGCTTTGGCCCAGTCGCTTCACTATTTCTGGTGCTACTAGTACTAGCCCTCTGCTCTTCCCCAGTAGCATATTGGACACCTTCCGACCTGAGGGGCTCATCTTCCAGTGTCATATCTTTTTGCCTTTTGCTACTGTCCAGGGGGTTTTCATGGCAAAGATACTGGAGTGGGTTGCCATTTCCTTCTCCAGTGGATCACGTTTTGTCAGAACTCTCTGCTGTGACCTGTCCGTCTTGGGTGGCCCTGCACGGCATAGCTCATAGCTTCATTGAGTTACGCAAGCCCCTTCGCCACGACAAGGCAGTAATCCATGAAGGAGTTTGGACTACAAAAGCACTAAAATAGGGAAGAAAGGAAGAAATATATTACTTAAAGCCTTTTCTAAAATGGCAGAAGAAATTTGCATTCAAGACATATGGAGAGAAAAAAATCCAAAAAAAATTGCAATATACATTTTATTCAAATAGACACAAATCATGGTCTAGAATTGATATGATATGGATATCCTCTGAACTTAGCACTATGATACAAGAAATAGAGATAGAAACTAATTTCTGGGCAGATAATAATCCAATAAAAATGACTTGGAGAGGAACCAAGAAAAAAAAATTAAGATGGTCCCTGAACAAATCTATATTGAAAGAAAAAGAATTTATACAACTAGCGACAAAGGAAATGGACTTTTTTTTCAAAATAAATAAGAAAGAAGAGACATCACTTCAAAATGTGTGGGATAGAGCTAAAGCATATTTTAGAGCAGTGATGGCGAACCTTTTAGAGACCGAGTGCCCAAACTGCAACCCAAAACCCACTTATTTATTGCAAAGTGCCAGAGCTGCATCAGGATTGTGGTGCTCTCAGGGGGGGCAGGGGACGTGGCCCACTGGGTGGGCATGGCTGCAGTGATCACGGCAGACTGGGTGAGTGTGGCTGGGGCCAAGGTGGCGGGGGCCAGTCCCTCGCCATCTCTGGGGCATCCCTGGGGGGCCAACGCTGCTTGCTCACTCACTTCCTGCCCTGTCGCTTCCAAACGCCACATGCTCGCTACTCTGGCAAACTCTGCTGGGGCAATGGTGCGCGTGCCCACAGAGAGGGCTCTAAGTGCCGCCTCTGGCACGCGTGCCATAGGTTCGCCACCACTGTTTTAGAGGGTTGTCTATAACTTATACTGCTAAAAAGAACAAAGAAAGAAAACAACAGTTAAAGCTGAAGGAAGAATTTAGGAAATTAGAATTAGAATTACAAATAGACCCACAAAAGAAAACACTTAAAAAGCAAATGGAAATAATAAAACATAAATTAATCCTTGTAGAGGCGGAAACAATGGCTCAAGAAATTAAATGGGTTAAACAGAACCTCTTTGAAAATGCTAACAAACCCGGGACATGGTTAGCACATAAATTGAAAAAAGAAAAAGAGAAAAGCCTGATAAACAAGTTGCAAGATTCAAAAGGTGAATTACAGTTTCATAATAATACAATAAAAAAAATCATCAAAGATTTTTATGAGACACTTTATGATACAGAGGAAACTTCAAAAGAAAAAATACAGCAGTACTTAAAAAAGCAGATCTACCAAAAATTCCAGAGAATATTCAAAACATATTAAATGGAAAAATATCAATGATGGAGATAACAGGCCATAAAAAGGCAAAGAAATGACAAGACCCTGGGCCCAGATGGACTACCTGCAGAACTTTACAAATCCTTGCAATATATATTAAGCCCAATAATGAAACAACTGTGTAATGAAATACTTTTGGAGGCTAAAATACCAAATACATGGACAGAAGCTAATATTACTTTAATACCTAAAGAAGATTCTGACTTGTCAGAAATAAAAAAAATTATAGACCGATATCATTATTAAACATAAGATTATAAAATTTTTGCCTCAATAACAGCAGAAAGATTAAAGAAATTTCTGACTAAATTTATACATACAGACCAAAATGGTTTTTTACCTAAAAGACAAATAAAAAATAACTTAAGAATGATTCTAGATGTTTTGGAGTACTATGAAACTCAGCCAGGGAAACAGATGGCATTAATATTTCTAGATGCACAGAAGGCGTTTGATAACGTAAATTGGCAATTCATGTTCCAGCAACTAGAAGAAATGGACTTTGGAGGAAATGTTATAAACATAATCAAAACAATTTATAACAAACAAACAGCTAAAGTAATTGTAAATGGAGATTTTACAGAAAATTTTAATATTAAAAAAGGCACAAGACAGGGATGTCCACTATCCCCATTACTATTTATATTAACACTGGAAGTATTGAATAGAAACATCAGGCAAGATATAGAAATTAAAGGACTGGAGATAAAAGATGAAAAATATAAACTACAAGCATTTGCAGACAACTTGGTTTTTATACTAGATAACAACCGCTTGAAACAAGCGTCAAGCTTATGGAGAAAATAGAAGAATTTGGAGAAATGGCAGGGTTGAAAATAAATAGAGAAAAGACTAAAGTGTTAACTAAAAATCTTACAGAAAAACAGAAAAATCAACTAGCGAAAAAAACAAACCTCCAAATAGTTAAAAAAAAGTTAAATATTTGGGAATCCATCTAACAGCAAGATGTGCAACAATTAAAGACGATAACTACATAAGATTATTAAAACAAATAAAATTAGATCTGGAAAAGTAGAAAAATCTACAACTTCGTTGGTGGGGAGAATAGCAACAGTGAAAATGAATATCTTACCAAAAATACTTTTTTTATTTCAAACAATACCTATAAGATTGGGAAAAACCTTTTTTGATGAGCTAAACAAAATAATACTGAAATTTATTTGGCAAGGAAAAAAAGCCAGAATTAGACTGAAAATGTTACAAGAAGCGAAAGAAAATGGAGGACTTGGACTGCCGGACTGGACGTTATATTACCAAGCAACAATATTAACATGGATAAAAGAGTGGATAATGCTTAGAGACAAAAGATTACTATACCTAGAGGGGCATGACCTACAATTGGGATGGCATGCCTTTCTGTGGTATGGGAAGAATAAAATACATAGATATTTTCAAAATCATTATATAAGAAATGCACTTTTCTTAGAATGGGAAAAAATAAAAGCGAAAATTTATATTAAAATACCTGGATGGCTTTCAACAATGGAAGCGTTTGCTTACCCAAACTTGATTAACTATGAGAAAATTGTGACCTGTAAAGATATTTTGGACAATGAAGGGAAATTGTATAGACAAGATTTAGAAGAGCAGGGTATTGATTTATCATGGTGGCCATATTTGCAAATTCAAACGAGATATGAAAAAGATGTTAAAACAATGGGATTTTACAAAGAACAGACAGAATTTGACCAGATATTGCTGAAAACAGATGAAAAACTGATTAAAAAACTTTACAAATATTTGCTAAGCTTAAAGATGGAAGAGGAACAAGTAAAAGAAACAATGATAATATGGGCAAAGAACTTTGGATATAATATAGAATTAGAAAAGTGGCAAAGCTTATGGGAAAGAAACTCTAAAATAACAAAAGCGGCAACATATAAAGAAAACTTATACAAAATGTTTTATAGATGGCATTTAACACCGGTGAGATTAGCAAAAATATTTTTAAAAATGTCTAATAAGTGTTGGAAATGTAAACAAAAACCAGGTACTTACTATCATATCTCGTGGACATGCCCTAAAGCTAAAAGATTTTGGTCAAGAATACACATATGGTTAGAGAAAATGATTAAAAAACATATTAATTTAAATTAGGTGTAATATGTTAGCTTTTTATCATTTGTCAGCCGCCCTGAGTCCGAAAGGAGAAGGGCGGGATATAAATACAATTAATAAATAAATAAAATAAATAAATATAGACTTTAAGCCAGAATTGTTTTTGTTAGGCATAATAATAGGAAACTATGAGAAAGAATGTATATACTTAATTTTACATGTATTAACTGCAGCAAGAATAGTATTTGCTCAATATTGGAAAAATGAAAACCTATCAATGGAGGAAGAATTAATTAAGAAAATCTTAGATTGTGCAGAAATGGACAGATTGACATTGAAGATAAAAGAAAGAAGATTCAGTATACTTTAGAACATGGGACAATTTTTATCAATGGCTAGAAAAACGAGTTACAGAGAAAGGAATGTGATATGTACTATGTATGCTCCCATCACTGGAGATTTTTAAGAAGAGGCTAGACAGTCACTTTTCTGAAATGGTATAGGTTCTCCTGCTTGAGCAGGGGGCTGGACTAGAAGACCTCCAAGGTCCCTTCTAATTTCTATTCTGTTCTGTTCTGTTCTGTTCTGTTCTGTTCTATAGCATTTTAAAACGTCAAATACAAATAGATGCCACTTGGTACCAAACTGAAGTATCATCTTTTTATTTAGTGACAGGAGCATTCTAGGGTTTTAGGCAAGGCTCTATCCCAGCACTAATTGGAAGGGTGAGATATTGAATCTAGGACCTGCTGGAATCACCTAGACAGATACTCTACCAATGAGCATGCCTTTCTCCATGAAATCTGGTACCCACTGTAATGGAGAGTGTTGGGCTTGGGGGGGGGTATTCTGGTACAGTATATCAGTTCTTAGGCTGCTTATCTGTCATCTGCTCAGGTTCAATAATGCCGTTCTTCCTTTTGATTTTGTTTAGGGGCTTCTGCTTCTTCAACTCTGTTGCCATTGCTGCTAAGCTTCTACAACAAAAACTTGCCATAAGTAAAATCCTTGTTTTGGATTGGGTAAGGCTTTTTCTCTTTTTGCTTCAGTGATCATTTACTGTCTTAATAAGATTTGGCTTTAGGCTCTTTGTCTTCCCTCATGGATTTCTGCTGAAGTTCTTCTGACATGAACTTCCAATGTCTACCCTGAATGCTATATCTATACTGAATTGGGCCTTATCTTTGATAAGGTGGCATCAGCGCCTTTTTCAGATGCTCAGATTCGTCATGCAGTTATTTAAAAGAGTGAGATATCATGGTGCCTAATATTTAGCACAATTCTGTGAGAACATCAGAATCTTGTGTGGGAATGTTAAACTAGTGAAATTTTGGCATTCTTCTCTGAACTCTTGCAAGTTATGTGAAAACACCAACATCTTGTGAGCTTTGGTGATTTTGTGAGTTTATAAAGGTACATTTGCTGCCTACATGTGCCATGATTTTGATACCAAGCTGACTCGTCTACTCATGTTTTACTTTGTGTTGGCAGGATATCCATCATGGCAATGGGACCCAGCAGGCATTCTACAGTGATCCCAGTGTGCTTTACATCTCCCTCCATCGCTATGACAATGGCAATTTCTTCCCAGGCAGTGGAGCTCCTGAAGAGGTATGTGTGCTCCTTTATTTTTTTGAATCTGATCTTGTAGAACAAGAGGTGCTGAAGCTGGAACCAGCTTGGAATATGTAGGTAAAAAACAGTTATTTTTTAAATCCCAAAGTGTTCCAGAAATATGAAGGGAGAGATAAAACTCCACCTTGAATTGGGTGCCATCTGTTTGTTTCAGTGGAGCAAAAAAAGAAAGAAAAAAAGGGTAAAAAGAGAAGAAGATATGTAGTGCAAATATTCTGTTGGAACTAGCAAGGAGGGCCCTCTATATTCACTCTATGTAGACAGAGAAGAAAAAGTTATTGATTTTTTTCTTGTTATGAAGATGCCATTTTATGTGGGCAGAGCTTGGAAAGGAGGATGGCTGGCAGTTCTCCGCTGACTTTCTGAGAGGGTTGTATTTCCAGAACAAATATCAATAGGAGACAGATTTGCTGTGTATATCTTTACAAGCAAAACATGGGGATGATCTTACAAAATGGAATCTGTCACAGCATAAACATAATTCATGAAGTCTCAATTAATTTGCTTCTCTGACATTATATATGAGAGAGCGCACACACACTGGATACACAAAAAGTGTATGTGACCTCACCATCACAAGACCTACTGACCACACAAAGCCCTTATAAGCAGAAGAACACAGACACTGACATCCCCTAAATTCCACTGAAGATGTTACCTAGCCTGGTAACGAAACATTCGGAAAAAAACCCACAAGCTTGGAGAACGAACCTCCACCCTCACACAAAAAGTAGATGTTTGAAAGATTGTTTACCAAAATTCCCTGTATTTTAGGAAATATTATGCACAAAAACATGTATATTTGACTACTAAATTGTGAGTGAATTACAAACATTTTTTTACATTTTTTTATCCTGCCTTTATTATTTTTATAAATAACTCAGGGCAGTGGACATACCTAATATTCCTTCTTCCTCCTATTTTCCTCACAACAACAATCCTATGTGGTGAGTTGGGCTGAGAGAAAGTGACTGACCCAAAGTCACCCAGTCAGCTTTCATGACTAAGGTGGGACTAGAACTCAGTTTCCTGGTTTCTAGCCTGATGCCTTAACCACTAGACCATTTTAAAAATAGTTTATATAAAATGTACCATAACTGTCTAATACTTAAATGCATATAACATTGACCAAAACCAAATTCATACTAATCTGTACATCCCTTGTACTAATCTGGCCACCCACTGCCATACTTCAAGATTAACAATTCTCAGGAGATATCCTGCTCATTGCTACCCACTAGAATCCAGTAACAGAATCCAGAAGCTCCCCTCTCTGGGATTTATACCTATATATTTTTCCTCCCAGACCTTGACAGCTCTCTGAATGGTAAACCCTGTGGCTGGGGGCTTTTGTTATCCACCATGTTTCTTTCTTCCAGGTGGGCAATGGGATGGGTGTAGGTTACAATGTAAACATTGCCTGGACTGGTGGTGTGGATCCCTCTATTGGTGATGTGGAATATCTGACAGCCTTCAGGTAGGGTTGTTATCCTGAATGTACCCGAATGTTTTTCTCCTGGAATGTGCCAAGGGGTGGTTTGTCATTATCGAGAAATGATTATTCTGAAAGGAAGTGATTCATGGTATTCCAGACATTGTTCGGCCCCAGGGACAGGGTTTGCGGCAGTTAGGGTGTCACTGATTTGAATGGGTAGAGGTTGTACTACTTAGGATTTTTTAATGGTTATTTTGGTGAACTTCATCTACATCCTTTAAGACTTACACACATTTTAATGTATTTGCTGCTGGAAAGTGATGGGAAATTCCACATTCACTTTTCAGCAATTTGCTGCTAAAAGTCAGTGTTAACAGTTTGTGACTCTGCAGGCCACAAAAGAAAATTTATGATTTCCCATGATTTCCCTTCCCTCCTCTCCAACTACAGTATATGAAAGTCCAGGGAGATTGGCCTTGGACATAGTTGTCTTGGCTTCACTTGTCCCAGCCTCTAGAGGGAATTTTGCATAAATTCCTTAAAGTTGTTATGAGGTAAACAAAGTAAAGATTACATGATGACAATAGTGTCATAATCCTGTCAAATTTATTTCTTCATCTGTCTCTTAGTAAGGGCCCTTGTGGTGACACTTCCAGGAGGCAAAATTGTCTTAGGAACTTTAAACAACTGCATAGTCCAAGACATTTCCTAATGAGATGAAAATAAGCTGGCCCTCCTTCCCACTTCAACTCTGGCAGTGGGACAGTTTTTTTCACTGTGTTTGAAGGTCACTGCATTCGGAGCAACTAAGACAGGCTATGTGTTCCACAGCTCTCTCTTAGTATGTTCTGCTGCCACTTAGCATTTGATGCTTGAGATGACCACCTCTGCCTATTGGTAGAGCTGGCCTCATAAATATTTTATAAATTTGTTTTTGTGGACCATTGTTTTTATTCAAGAAAGCTTAAGTTACCGGTATGCCATAAAAAGGTGTTTCAGGGGTCACAAGATTTGCTTGTTGGTTTTGCTTCAACAGACTAACATAGCTCCCACTCTAGAAATTGTTTAGTACAATTAGGAGGAACCTTCTAATATCCCATGATTGTTTTCCATCTCTGACTTGAATAATCTGTAGCAGCCTTCCCCAAATCACTTCTCTTTAGTTGTGTTGGATTACAAGACATAATTTCTAGCATTCATAGCGAAAAGCCACAATAATGTACTGTGGAAGTTATAATTCTGAATGGTACCAAGTTGAGGAAGGCTTGTCTACAGATATGTAGCTCAGTTTAGTTAAGTGCATTGGAGGAAGTTACAAAGGCTCAGATGGGAAGGCTGAAATGGCTGGAATTTCCCTAATCCATACATTGCAGTTGATCCAGAGCTAATGCTGTCCTGCCGCCTCTTCCTAAGAGAAATCTGAGAGCTATTTTGTGTCCTCCAGGACTGTGGTGATGCCTATAGCCCACGAGTTCTCCCCAGATATGGTCCTTGTTTCTGCTGGCTTCGATGCTGTTGAGGGACACTTGTCCCCGTTGGGTGGATATTCCGTCACAGCCAAATGTGAGTTTGAGGAACATAGGGGAGGGTCCCTTCCCAGTTTTAAATAGAGCAAACTATTAACAGTTGAGAAAGGTATGAATATAACTGTACCCAGCTCAGTTCTGTTGTGTATTGTCCACTGTATACCTCAAATCAACTATTTTGAATATGCTTTCATCTTGATATTTTTATTGTTTTGTTTGTGAAGATGACCTCTAATGATAGCCTAATGGTAGGCTACAGTGCCATAGGACTTAATATTACATTCTGTGTTTTTTCCCTCACCATTTATTTATACGTTTTTCCTATGTTCCATACTTCATTTTTCATTATTTGCATCCCAGGCTTCTGTTCTTTTGGTGTCTTCTTCCAATAGAACAGCTTTACCTCTTTCTGGGAGAAACCATATATATCTATAGTGGTATAAATAAAACAACAAAAATTTTGTCAGTGACATTGATATACCAAATAACGTCTACTGTGGAGCTCAAAGTACAGTGGTTTGCATAAGATTCCTAGTGCCTCCAAGCCAACCAAAGACTGATTCCATACCTACTTACTATTACCTACATCCATTTTAGTCCAGACTTGTCCATTGAGAAATGGTCATGCTGGCCAAGGTTTATTTATTTATTTATTCAATTTCTGTAGCTTCCCATCTCAGTCTATGACTCTGGGTGGCTTACGATTCAAAATATATATTACAATTAAAACATGAAAAACATTTTAAAATGATAAAAAAAACAATAAAAATATTCAAAATAAATATACATAGCAGCTGAGATACTTGGCCAGTTGCAATATAGCCAGGAAACAGGACCCTTAACACATTCAGCATTATGAGAACTGGAAGCCACTAAGTTGAGAAAAATCATCTTCTATTCCCCACCACTCCATGGAATGGCTTTAGTTGCCAAGCCCTGCCTCATTTTGACAGTAAACATGAGGTGAGGTTGTTGCCTAGTCAGAATAGCTCTTAAAATATTAATGTAAATAACCAAGGGAGATGCAACATCTCTACCTACCTCTGCATATTTTAGAAATATTACCATTATAACTCATGCAAACTGTTCTGATAGATAGAAATGGGGAATCTGTGGCTCTCAAAATTCTGCTAAATTACAGTTCTAGCAGTGCTAATTAACCTAGCCAAGAATGCTGGAAATTGTAGTTCAGCAAATATGGAGGGACACAGGTTTCTTAACCTTAGCAAAAGCCATTTAAATTATAGAGTTCCAGCACCAGTATGTATATAGGAGGATGTTTTTTGATAGCAATTCAGATTGCTCATCATCTCCTCTTTACAAGTAATAGCTTTTCTGACATGCTTTTCCCAGCCTCGTTACCTGAAAACTGTTTTATTGCCAGTGCATAGAAAAGCTTGTATACTGTATTACTGAGCTATAGTCTCTCCACACGTTCTGATGATGCTACAATAGTTGGAGTTGCAGCTCTTTTTATCTCTGATAATTTCTCCATGGAGATCATTTATCTCTACCTCGTTGATTTTTTGAGCTGTATGTGTTAGATCGCGCAGGCAGTAAGACACGAGTCGAGTGACAGTCAGCTCTTGGTTTATTGGCAAGGCATCAAGTAAATCCGGACTGGCTCTCTGGGCCAGGGGAGCCCTCTTTTATGGGATTCCCCTGGCTTGTAATCACACAATTCCATTGGCTGGCAAGACCCTGTTGCTAGTTAGCCAACCAGCAACGGGCATGA